CCACCCAGGGGTCATGACCCACAGGTTGAGAACCACTGTTCTAGATTAATGTGCTTTGGCCTCTGGAAGGAAGGAAGGCCTCTCAAATTTAGGACCATGTGCTTGTTAACCTCCCCACCCCCAACCATTGATGCTCTATAAGGAAGCTCAATAAACTTATTAGTTCCCCAGAGTGGGGTCTACTTTAGTGGAATTGTGCCTTGGCTTGGGGTTGGGACCTTATAGTAGGGGTAGACATTGCTTATGTCTCCCCTTGGGAAGGACTTCTTGATTTTGACAACTTCCAGAGATAGCGAGGTATCTGTTGTTAGTGTTTCATTTCCAAAGTGCTAAGTTTAAGAAAATATTTGAGTGATGCTGTGCCCCCATAGGTGCGTTGAGGACAAATGATTTGCTCAAGTCTAAATATCCTTAACTATCACATTCTATGTTCCATAACTAAATGGGTGAACAAGGCCACCTAGGCAAAGTGTTCTCTACAGGTTATCACAGGACCAGTAGAGTTGTGTAAATAAGCCTGGTAATAATTGAAGAAGAGTCCAGAATGTCTGATGTCATGGATTGAAGAAGGTATGAATATTTGGAAATTTTGGAAACTTATACTTTCATCTCTCAGTTGATATTATAAAGAATTCTTGTGTTTATCTCATAGATGCACAAACTCAAATGATATTTATGATGTAGCATTTATGCTAATCTGCAGTGTCTGATAGTATTTGTCAACATGGGGTTATAATGGGTAATGCAAGTAGGATAGTAGTAATTGAAATCATTGCTGTGAAAAAGATCACTGAGAGAATAAACTGAGAAGTGCAGAGAATGGAATTCCGGGAACACCAGTGTCTAAGATATAGATAAAGGAAGAGCATTCATAAAGTTCAAACCTGAAGAACTGAACAAACAGAAGACTAGATTGAGTCACAACTGCATTCTGTCCTTGACAGAGACAGATATTTCAGAAGGACAGCAGACAGATTTTCCTGTTAAAGGTGAATATTCGCTCGTTGTTAAATAGATAAAAGTTCAGGGACTAGTGGCAGTTAGCGGCTGCTTGGAGAGGGGTGTCATTTTCTTCAGTGGTGTATCTATTGGAAAGTAGTCCATGTTCATACAAGCAATCTTAAATTCAGTAACACACTACACACACACACACACACACACACACACACACACACATCGTAAAAGGCTGCTTGTGTGTTCCCGGCTGCCCAGACTCCCGAAAACAACCACACAGAAACTGTTTTAATTAAAGCAGTGGCTTGGCCAATTGTTTAAGCCTATGGCTAGCTAGCTCTTACATCTAAAATTAACCCATTTCTACTATTTTATATTTTACCATGAGGGTCATGACCTACCGACGGGTTTCAATGTGTCTGTGTCTGGTGGTGTCTCCATGGTTTCTCCCGACTCTGCCTTCCTTCTCCCAGCATTCAGTTTAGTTTCTCCCACCTAGCTCTGTTCTACCCTATCAGGCCAAGCCAGTTTCTTTATTAACCAATGGTATTCACAGCATACAGAGGGAAATCCCACATCACACACACATGCACGAAAGCACACACATGTGTATGCGCACACACATGCACAAATGCACAATGTGTGTATGCGCACACACATGCACACTCTCACACACACGCGCACACACACACATGAATGTGTACACACACATATACATACATGAACACACTTACACACAATACAAAAATTTGAAAGAACTTTTGGGAAGAAGAATTTCAGTAGAAGGAGAATGAAATGGGATAATGGGGATAGAAATGACGAAAACTTAGTATAAACTTGTATGAAACTGTCAAAGAATAATTAAAATAAAATGTTCTTAAAAGAAATCAGGAATAAAGGTGGACTTCCTATTTTCAATGAGATGATTGAACATCAAAAAAACAAAAACCAAAGAAAGAAAGAAAGAAAGAAACCAAAAATCAAACCCACCTCAATGAAGTTTGGAAGTCAGTGAAAAACTTAGTCTGAGTGATGACCACTAAAGTGTCTTTATTCAGCTCCGGAGAGACAGAGGTAGGTGGATATCTGTGAGTTCAAGGTCAGCCTCATCTACTAGTGAGTTCTGGGATAGCCAGAGCTACAAAGCGAGACTCTATCTAAAAGACAAAAACAAAATAAAAATTGCAATTTGAATTCCCCAAGAGATGTAAAAGATGAAAGATGATTTTTTTCAGTCAGCTGTGCCAAAGATATTCAACATAAAATCTCTAACCTTGTGTTAGAATCTGTATTCGAAGTCCAGTTACTAGACCTCAAGAGTCATACGTCATGGATTTCATCTGAGTTCCTCTTTCTTTCCAGACACTGAGACTTTGACACACAAAGTTTTTGGGTAATATTATTTTAAAATATGTTGTTTTTGTTTCTGCTGCATTTGTTTAACTCTGTGAAGCTGTGATTCTTTGCCTGTCTAAAACACCTGGTGGCCTAATAAAGAGCTGAATGATCAATAGCAAAGCAGGAGCAAGGATAGGCAAGGCTGGCAGCAGAGAAAGGAAGAGGGGGAGCAAGAGAACAAGGAGAAGAGGTCATCAGGGCACAGCCCCCAGCTACACAGCAAGTCAAGGAGAAAGGAGTAAAAAAAGGTATACAGAATAGAGAAAGAGAAAAGCCCAGAGGGAAAAGGTAGTTGGGATAATTTAAGTTAAGAAAAGCTGGCAAGAAACAAGCCAAGCTAAGGCTGGACATCCACAACTAATAAACCTCTATGTGGGATTTATTTGGGAGCTGGGTGGCGGGTCCCCCAAAAAGCCAAAAGAGTAAAACATCACACAACACAAAGCTTCCACTGTGAAGCAGCTAAGCTTCTCCCAAGTTGTACAATGGACACAAAAGAAGAAATCTACTAGCCTGGGAGTTCCCATCTGCCAACTCTGTCCTCTTGCTGATGCAAAAACACAGCTCTCACCTCAAAGAGAGCAAAACCAAGTTTGTTCTGTAGCCAAATATGAATGACCAAGACCCAGGAACATAGATTCAGCTTGCCCCAAATACCGTGACCCAACATAGTAGCATTTTCACCAAGTTTTTATAGCAACAAAGCAAAGAAAGTTCTCAATGCATTAGTGCAGTGATTTTTGACTTTCCTAATGCTGGGACTCTTTAACACAGTTCCTCGTGTTGCTGTGACCCCCCCCGACCATAAAATTCCCTTCTTTGCTACTTCATAACTATTATTTTGTTTCCTTTATGAAACGTAATATGAATATATGTGTTTTCTGATGGTCTTAGGTGACCCCTAGGAAAGGGTCGTTCGCCTTCCACCAAGGAGTGGTGATCCAGCAGTTGAGAACCACTGCATGAGTGTAAACAGATGAGTGGGTTTCTGCAAAACAGGGAAGTTTCTGTATGGACCTCAGATACTGTCTGATAGTGATCACCTCTGGGTTATTGGAAGTTAGAAATGTGGTGGCACATTCCAAAAAAGATTTTACTTGATAGTCACAAGGATGTTAGGTCAAATACAGATGACGACAAATGGCTATTACAAGAGCAAAAGATAACCACGATAATTTGATTCTGGACCGGCAACATTCCAGTTCCTCACCACCGAGAAGTTCCAACCCGTCAGTGTTAGAGACAATCACAGCTTCCTTCTCCTCTAACTTCAATCCACACAAGCTGACTTTGCTCATTACAACAAAAACCCAAAATTCTTTTTTGCTTCCTGCTTATTTCGCAATAGAGCAATGCCTTGGGTAAAAAAATAGTCAAATCTGGGTCTCTGAAAGAGCACACAGTAGCTTTTGCCTGACTTAGCAATTCCGATCTAATGGATTGGTTCCTTATTTGAGGCTTAGTCACGTATAAAATGTATCAGGCATTCTTCTAGGCGGTAGAAACACACCAAGAAATTAGGGGGGGGGGAACAGAAATAAAACAAAAATAAAACACATAAAAGGGAAGTCCAGCTTGAAACTGTCGGCGAGGAAAAACACGGGGAGGGGGTTGATCTTGTCTCGTAACAGATAAGGAAAATAAGGGGCTACTCCAAAGGCGCTTTGTATAACTCCGCAGAGTGATAGCCACTTAGGTCCTCAGGGTAAGGTAGGAGCAAGATGTTGATTTGTGTTATCACAAGTCGGAGGGGTTCCAAGGAGGCAGAAGGGAGGGACAAGGCAAATACATTCAAATTGAAGCAAATATTTATAGCAGAAGAGAAGGGAACACAGACATACACAGAGAGATCCCATGTAGCATCCCCAGCTCTCCCCAGGTTTCCAGCCAGGGAAAAGGAAGCAAGATGCGCCTGCGCAGTTGAGCGGCCACCTGCGTGGACGCCGGGGGCGGGGTCCGCGCTCCCCAGCTGGAGCTGGTCCAGGCTCCGCTCTCGGCCCCGCCTCTCCAGCGGCTCGCCTCTGGATTGGTCCGGGCGGGGGCGGGGTCCTAAGCCCGGAAGTGCGGCTGACGTGTCGGGGCCGCGCTCGGAATTGTGGGCTATTCGGCTAATGGCGTCGGCGAGTCTGGGCACCGGGGGTAGGCATCGCTGAAGCTTCTAGCCAGTTCGGCTTGGTGACGCCCGCCGTGGCCGGGCCCCGCGGCAGCGGGAGGGACCTGCCCGCCTGGTGGGCTCCCGAGC